TCAATCCTCCACCTCTGTAATTTTTTTGCAATAATTGATGTTTCTGCAGTGTTTAGGTTTTTTTCTATATCCCCTATTATACATGTACCGGTACCTTTTAAGTTCCGGGTATGTTTTTGAGTGTATTTCTAATAGTGCAATTCCATTCATGGTTCAACTTCTGAAGAAAAATTGTCTGTAACAATTCAATACTTCACCTCTGTAATTTTGTGCAATAAGGTTTGTGTCTTTGTTTTTTGTTTATACTCCCCATTTTTTTTTTTTATTCATTGCATGTTTTGTCTTTGGCAACCTTTTTAATTCTTGTGTACATGTGTGATATCTTTGAAATTGTGCAATGATTCTGTCCATGTTTAATGTATTGTAGTCTTTTTTTTCTTAATGAAGCTTAACTTTCTATTGTTAACTTTCATCACTCATTGTATCACTCATAGTGAATTCAATGCAATTTTGCCGTTGGCAACCAAGTTGAATTTTAATAAACCATTAATAATAATAATATAATTTCGTGCAGTCAGACTTTGTAATCTAACTGGCCCACCACTGACCATGCAAATGAATTGTCTTGTTGTTGTCTTTTGCTGGACCGGGATGCGTGGAAGGTGACCATCAGAGGTTCCCGAGAAGGTGTCGGCTGAAGACGACCTCTCGCATCAGTCAGTTGTTCTCTTTAACTTAGTTGATACCACATAAGAGGTTGTGATGTTTGTAAAATCTGAAGATTTTAGCTACTGGTATGTCCACATTTGAGTGGAATTGCCCAGATGAAATATCACCCATCAAAGTAATGTGCTATTAGCAATAGTGATCTAAAAAGTAGTCACATGGAATGTTTGCGTTATAAATGTAACATAATATGTGCATCAAGGGCCAGGGGGTATGCTGGGCATGGGGACACACCTCCTCCTTCAATGTCTCTGCCCCCAATCCTTGTGGCCCCTCAACTGAGAGTTTGATGCAAACAATTCCATCTTATGAATAGTTTGATGCGAGGCAAAACATGAGCATTTTATTGTTAAAACCCAAATGAACACCCCCTATAGAACACCCCAAGTACCCTCTTGCAGTTCCACTATTCGGTTTCCATTTTGGAAACTGGATATACATGTATTCAAAACCAAACTTAAAACAATTAATCCTTCCATTTTTGTGAGACATCAAGCTAAAGAAAATAACTGTAATGTCCCCCAATTTGCTGCACCGTCTCTGATTATCTGCATTCACTTGCTCTTCTTGGTATTATGAGTTTAATAGCTCCATGATCTGTCTTTGGGCACCCCTTTTTAATTCTACATGTAATGGTTCTCATTTCTGACCAACCCTTTTTTGGCTCCTGACCTTGTCAAAAAAGTGAAAAAAAAAAGAAGGATAATCTGTCCAATTTTGTAGGAAAAATTGCTGAAGTAACGTCCCATATTTTACGTGGTAGCATTCACAGTAGTTCGTCGCGGTAGGATTGAGCTGAGGAACTGTGTGAGCACCACATGTATGATGTTCCCTGGTCCTCACCACCTTGTTCCATGCTGCATGCCGCATCGGGATGGGGGGGGGGCCAAATGTTTATTTAACTTGTTCAAGTCCTTACAGCACTTTATTTGTCGTCGAACGTGTTTTTACAGGTAAAATAATAAACAACGTTGTTAAGTTAAAAAAACAAAACAAAGTTAATTCAGACCGAGACACTCATATATTCAACAGTTTGCATCATTTCATTTAGCCTTTTGAGCATTCAACATGTATGTTATTGTACCCCACATTTAGTTTTTTTCCGACTGACCAACCCTCCTTCAAGGCCAAATAAAATATGAGGACCATTGAATTAAAAAGGGACACCCTTATCAGAGAGTACCCACCATTTTTTCAACATTTCAGCTTTGGAGTGTTTTGTAAAGGCCCAGTGGTTGAATCCCACATACTATACCCAATCATTGGGAGGGCATGGCATGGCATGGCATGGCATGCAGCATCTCACTCGTCACTTTTTGTTGCCATTTACGTGAGCTGTTGGGAACCTATGGTGAAATTGGATTTAACCAATTTTTGGTTTGAAAAAAATTATGCTAATCAATTATGAAATCTCAGATTTCTCCCACTTGTAACTGGCATTTAACTACAAAAACAAAATGCTTATAAGGACATATATTGGATTATGTAACACAATTCCATTGAAATATTTCAATTACTCCTGGGACAAAAATCTAGCAATCCAGACTTACATTAACAATGTACCATAACCAATACATGCGTGATGGAATGAGAGATGAATGCAGTAGAGTGATGTGCATTACATGTTGCATGCATCACGATTAGGCTTCGTGCTACTCAACTAGAGATTCCACTGACTGATAAGTTACATCCATGTACTCATTATCCTCATTTGTATGGATTTGTGCAAAGAATCTGAGGATATAGGTTCATTATTTGTAAATAGTTTTGTTCTGTTTATATCTTGACATTTAGGTTGACAGTGCATTTTTTGCGTGATACTTTTGGTTTTAAATGTGTGACTATTTATATGAACAGAATCTCCCTTTGATACATTCATGAATTTCACGTACATACCTGTTCAGTTTGGGGATTTTGCAGGATTGAGGCTGCAAAAACGTGTGGCTGATTTTGGAGGATGCACTGTGTCAAGGTCTTGGCCGGCGTTTTAAGGAGTTAAAAGGCTTGAACATGTCCAAGTATCACAGCCAGTGCTGGTTAATTAACCCACTGATTGATACGTGGTACAGGCTCCCTTTCCCTTGTGGTTTTGCTAGAAACATTCTTGAATCTTTTAAAATTAACCACTGTGCAGAAATATGTATACATGTAAGGTATGTAATTTTAGGGCCATTTTAATGGCACATGAGCAAGTGGTTCTGGAAGTCTATTCATGACAAACAATTTGTATAAAGATATTGTTTACTTTTGTTTTAAGGCTCTGACATCGATACAATTCAAACACCAAACAACAATAATGCTAGTACGGTAGTAACAAATGAAATAAGAATTAACAGTAGCAATGCCTGATTGTCACACTTCATTGTAACAACTTGCAGAATACGATGCCCTCTAAGCAGAATTTTAAATAATCAATATATTGAAAATCCAATATCAAAAATATTCGATATATCGATTATCCCATAGTTAAAGACCATAAAGATGACACATTGATTATAAAGAAAAACAATAGAAGTCCCAATTTTTCACGGCTTGCTCTAGAACATATTATCGCTCAAACTTTTTAAAACAAATCTCAGCACTGAGGGTTTGTCCAGAACAGGCAGTTTCTTTTAAGCTTTTACATTGGGCATGTTGGGGGAGACTGCAATTTCCAGCGAACGCAGAGCTTGGCATTTCACGATGTTTTTCTTTTGAGTCACAAGCGCAACTTGCTGCCGAGTTTTATTTCATTGTACAGTAAATGTTGAACACAAAGTAAAAGCACGAAGGGAAATTTATTTTGAAAATAATCTGACGCGTTTTCAATATTTTTGATATCATTCCTCATGATTCCTCAATATCGAAAATTTTGATATTTCGATATGATTAAAAAATTGCTATCGGCATATCGATATCAAAATAATATCGAATAATCGAGTAATATCGATATATCCACGGTACTTGCCATGCCTGTACATGTACTATGTACCGTATGTTCACAAACATCGAGGAATGGCTGTCAACTGCCCAAAAAGGTCCAGTGTCCAGCTACCATCATCATTGAACATTCATCATTGTGCAACCGACTAAAAACCAGATGTGTTTCTTGTAATTTGTCCCAACTTTCCAGTGTAATTAGGTGTTGGGCTTTAGCCCAAAACCTATTGGTTTTGGAAGAATTTACTGTTTTTGTTCTTCTCAGCATTTTCTCAGCAAATCCTTCTCCAGAACTGTTTGGAAAAATGGAAACATAGGCCTATATGAACTTCATTTGTCAATACATGAATGCCCAATCCACCGCAGATGTGTTTTTTTGCAATTACGTAATCATGACGCCATCATGGGTCACGTGACGTCACTCGAAAGTTTAATAAATTTAATCTTTGAAATTCCATATAAAATCAACCGTGAGAGACCGGAACCTGAAATTTGCGGGAATCGACATGGTAATACATGATCTTCATTTTATGTTGTGCGCGTAAAATCACGTGACCCTTCCTTCCGGTCGAAACCGGAAGTGCCTAACGTCATCAAGTGTCATATTACAAGCAAATAAATATTTCCATATTTAATCTTTGAAAATCAATATAAAATCAACTGCTACAGATCTGATTTTGTTTTTTATGGCAATCGATAAAATATTGCAGGGTCTTCATTTTTGGTTTTAAGTGAAAAATCACGTGACCCTTCCTTCCGGTCAAAACCGGAAGTGCTTTATTAATTGAAATTGGCAGAAGATGCGAACTTGCTTTCAACGATTCGAGTGTCTTTACAGGTGATGTCATCAAATGTTAGAGCGCCCTCTGGCGGCATGTTAAAAAGTCAAACATGGATTTAAACATGCATATTTTGAGTTGATGTGTGTGGCAAAGTTTGCGGTAATCCATGGCCCAACACCGTGTGGTTGTTCCTACAACCTCTAGTTGTAGTTGTTTTCGGGGTCTTTCTCTGAATACATGCAAATATTTTCCAGGATTTTGATTGATATTGGACAGAAAAGCTCAGACTTGTTTACATTGCATACTATTTTACACACATGTACATGTACATGTATGTACTTCACACAATGACACAATGAAATAGATGCAATGTTCTCTCCTATCACAGATTTGCAGTATTGGAACAAAAGTTAAAAAGGTCGAAGTGTCTATTTTTAGAAGTTACTACATGTACATGTATATCCATGGTTTGCTTAAAGGTGTTATTTTACTTAATTTCAAAAGCTCATTGAATTGACTGAAGCTTGCCAGTGTAGCCCATTTTTGTATAGTAATAGAGATGCTTTAGTGTTAAAGGCCCCAACATTTCAAAATTTGATAAAGCATTGTTTCTGTGTTTGATTCATGTTTCAGTATGTTCAACCAGGAGCAAGAAGAGTCACCAGCTTTTCTTGAGAGCTACACTAAGCTGGTCCCCCTCCCCTGCGACCAGCCAGGCTGGTGCCACCTCAAGGCTACACTAGCCCGGTTGGCTACAGTCACCACACCTCATACCCTCCTTCCCTGCCTTGGAGAAGTTTACCGGGCAGCTCACCCTTCCCAGCACAACTGGCACACAGTCCAGCCACTAGCTGAGACGCCCCACCCATTCCTTGGGCTAGGCCACTTCCTGGAGCATGTTGCTGAGGAGGCAGAGCAGGACCAGTTCTTCCGAAGAGTGCTGCCAACGATCACATGGCTGGCTGGAGAGATGGAGGCATGGCGCCCTCAAGAGGGAATACAATATGCTCTTCAACAACAAGGTTGTTTATTTACACTTTGAAGTTTTTGTTTGTTATCATTGTTTTAAAGAGCAATATTCATTGTTGGACTTTAATATTGAGACAGGACGGCCCCATCAACCATTCGGCTTGCATGTTAAAACAAGGTGCCAAATGGACTACCAAAAATCCATGATTTTAGCCCCTCCCCCAAAAAAAACAGGTTTTGCGACCAAAAAACACACACAACATGTACATTCCATCTCACTGGCACACCACTCAGAGGAAAAGTCTTGTTGGCCCCTTTAATTTGATACTGAAGTTGTTGTTGTGATGCTTGTAGTTCTGAAGATATAATAAATGTCATATTTCAGCATTGTTAGCTTCTCTGTGGTATTGCAAGCATCCTTAATGGCTGGAGCTCAGATGAGCCATTTTGTCCTTTGAGCTCGTAGTAACTGTGCCTGTGTGAAAGTCACTGTAAAATGTGCCATTTGCTTTTAGCCAATTTCTGTCAGTGTGTGCTTATTTGCCCTGCTGTTGCTTAAGTGCACCAAAGCATCAGTGCTTCAGAGTGAGAAAGCTTCCGGTCTTTGACATTTCAGGTAAATTGCAGCTAAGAAGATTAACATTGTAAAATATGAGATTGACCTCTACCATGGTAAACAGGCAGTCTAAGTTATGAGTACATGCATTTTCACATACATTTAATGGGCTTATAGTGTGAAAAAAACAGGATGAAGCTAAAGACAACTAGAGGTTCGCGTTTGTTGTTACAAACGCAGAGTGGTCGGGTAGACAACTATTTCATTATATATTGTCCAGTTAAGTTATGAATATGTTTTTGTCACGAAAAAGGACTTTAACATTTCCAGTACCAATTATTTTGTACAAAAAGAATGCGTCTTTTAGGGTATGATAAATTTCAGTAAACATTTAGGTACACGTACAAGTTATTTCCGGTTTGATGACGTAATCAGTCAAAAAAAGGGAAGGGAGGACACTTGTTTATCATTAAGTAAAAATAATGGATGGGAATATGGAAATTAAGTGTATGTAATAACACATAACTTCCGGTTTGATGACGTCACAGTATTTGGACCAAAAGGTCAATATTAAGTGTAACAGATGTCATTTTGTTGGGCAAAAAACAAAGCCATGAGACAGGGATCATATGATGGATATAAATTAAGAATAAAATGACCATTGTTGAATTCTCCCTACAGTACTTCCGGTCGATGACGTCCTGATTATGAAACCTTGCAAATTAATTTGTGGTTGCTCACGGGATATATTGGGGCAATTTCATAAAAATTGGATTGAGGGTTTTAACATTTTGAAAGATTAAACTGTTTTGATGTGCCGCTCGAGGGCGCCCTTTCGTGGAATGACGTCAAAATTATGTTTTTGCAATTGGCATTCCTCACTTAACACTTCCATAATGTATTTGTCTGTAGTAAAATTCTTCCGTTTAAGAGTAAGAATAAGAAATGTTGCTCAAGGCACCGTCTACAACCTCACGAAAAAATAAACACGATACTCTATTTAGTTCAAGAGATATAGGTCAAACTATTTTGTCAAACTGTGCCATCAAATCGCTTGTAATTTGATATCTGATGATGTCATGATGACGTAACAACATTTATAACATCTTTTTAACATGGTACAAGTTCACACTAGGTTTTATGATCATACCGTATTCCGTTCTGAAGAAATTGTGCTTTTTTTGATTTCAGGCTAATTTCTTCATTTTGAATTCACCTAACTTTAACCTTCCAGTAGAACCGGAAGTAAAGGTCAAGCGAATTCACGTACAGGACAAAAAATGTTTACCAATTAATGGTCTATCTGATTACAAGGTTGAAACATAATTGATCAATTTGTTCATGAGTTATAGGTGTAAGAAGATCGCCATGTTTTTAATGAAATCGCTTGTAATTTGACACCTGATGATGTCATAATGACGTCAGAGTTGCACCACTTAGGATGAGGGTCGATATATTGAAAGTTACGAGTTCCTATCATAAACCGTTTAAGAGAAAACCCGCGGAAACGTGCTGTACGGAAAAAAAAGAAAGAAAGAAAGAAAGATTAATCGCAACAAATCCAAAGAGTGGTCGGGTTGTGCCCGACCACTCAACTAGAGGTTTGGCAGGAGGTACAACATTATTTTATTGTGCGTTGTTTCAGCTCAGTGCTCACTGTAAAACTAGCAGAAATGATGAAATTCAGACCCATGTCCCAAAACCATTGTATCATTTGAGCAAATGCAGTAAAAGGAAAATATTTTTCTCATGGAAAAAGAATTACACAAACTTTTTGTGTGTATGCATTAATTCTCGTATGCATTAACTTCTGCTTTAATGACGTCAAAGCATTTGCATGCCTAAGATTAACATACCAGTATATACTGTACATGTACAAACTCGAAGATGTACGTTTAACTCATATTATTTGTGCAACAATTATCGCTATTGTCTTCGGAATGAAATATTTGAATTTAATACAAATAACACACAGAACTTAGAATACCATGATTCAGTGCGTTTGTTTATGGTGTAAATCAAGGACACACATGTGCAACATCATCGATTAATCGAGGACAGGAACCAAATCGAGGACGACCACAATTATAAAATGTGTACAAAACCAATAAGAGCTGTTGCCAAAAAGTTTGAGTTTAAACAAAGGAAAAGGGAAGAGGAACAATAGGAAATCCTCCATTTACACCATGAACAAACGTGTCTGTGTACGGGTGTGTGTGAAGTTGATTTCCTACACATAACGTCCGCAACGTTATAATGTAACGTCCATAATGTAACATTTAGAGGAACAAAAACATGATGTTGCCATAACATCACAGAAGCTTTTTGTAGTTTTGTCATTGGTGCTTTTTCTATAGAGTGAAGCTAGATCTACATGTACATCGTGTACCACCGTTAAATTCTTGTAAGAAACTTTACAATGCGTACTGAAAGTCAAAACATATCAAATGAGTGACGTCCATAACGGACATTTACAGTGCTTATACGTACATGTGTGTATCATTAAATTCAGCTGACACTACATTAACCATGTCATGTTATACGTTAAGGCCTAAGCTAGAGTTGTACTGAATATATATAATTTACACATGTGCTTCTTTAAAGAAACTTTACAATGCGTACTGAAAGTCAAAACATATCAAAATGAATAACGTCTATAACGGACATTTACAGTGCTTATACGTACATGTGTAAATTCAGCTGACACGACATTAACCATGTCATGTTATACGTTAAGGCCTAAGCTAGAGTTGTACTGAATATATATAATTTACACATGTGTTTCCACTGCAAGAATTTTATTTTGTTTCAAATTGGTCAGTTTGCTCTGAATGTAATGTCTGTAACGATGGAATTACCCATGTATGACACATGAACATGGGTGTAGCACATACAAACACATGTACATGTACTATAACATGAACATTAACTTAATCTCCTGGTTTTGATTACTTGGGCACCCTATGCTCAGTCGTTGATTAGACTTAACCATATTGAGTTTCCATGGTTCGATATGTATTAATTTTTTTCAGCATTCAAGTTTCACATGCATGTAAGGCCCCCAAACTGATTGAATTACATTGTGCCTGACGTTTGAAGCAAGACGATTTGATTGATTTTGCAAAGTGAATAACTTGGAGTGGTTTCTTGTGAGAACTACGTCATGGCTGTTATTTTCTTGCCGTAGCAACAAAACAAAGTTGTCAGCAGGAACATGTCCATGTCCATGTATCTGTCTGTCTGTGTTCGATGACATTTTGATACATGTGTTGACTCATGAAGCATGAATGTGTGCTTTTCAACATGTAGGTTGCAGAATGTAAAGGAGTAAAGAATAATAACTAAAGCTGTAAGTGTGGGTGTTTGTGTGTGTACATGTACATGCATATTCAAATCGTTGACCTTGAACAGTAGAGGAAAAAAGTGTCCATGAGTGACCAAACTTTTGATGTGTGTGTATATAAAATTATATGGGAATATGTTTCCCCCTCTCTGAAATGCAGTTTTAGAGGTATTTTTGGGTAAGAGTTATCCGTCGCAAAATGAAGAGAAACACTCAAGGAAATCACGATTAAAACTGTAGGTTTAAAGAGTGTTCACTGAGTGCGAGTAAAATGATTTTTTTTCTCTGATTTTTCTTAACTACATGTACATGAATACAAAGAAGTGTCCACAGTACAGGTATGGAAGGAGTATGTGTGGGCAGGCTGTCATTGCATAATGGGGAAGTTTTTTTATTGTTAGGCAAATTAGGACTGAGTTATTGGGACTTTCTGCTGTCCCCACAGCGTCTTCGGTCCCCATAGTACTAAGGGATAACTCATGTGTAGTCCCAACAACTACGGAACAAGTATGTGTGTGTGGGTTTGTTTATGGTGTAAATCGAGGACACACATGGTGAAACATTTTCAATGTGTAATTGAGGACAGGAGTCAAATCGAGGCAACCTTGATTAGAACATGTGTACAAAACCAGTGGGAGCTGTTGCAAAAAAGTAAAAGTATGAACCAAAGATCGATGATAAGGAACAATAGGAAATCCTTGATTTACACCATAAACAAATGTGTCTGTGTACCGTATGTGGATGCCCTGGCCGCGGTCCCGTGTTAAGGTGAAGTTTTCTATTGTTAGGGAAATACCGGTAAGGACCGAGTTATAGAGACTTTCTGCTGTCCCCATAGTGTCTTCGGTCCCCTTAATAACTATTGCCCAACAGGTGTGTGGTCCCCACATCTATGGAACAAGATTGTGTGATCTTACCATCTGTTACGTAACCCAGAGGACGTGAGCCCAAGTCCTTGGGAGGTTTTCGTGTACAAACCTTATATGATATTATTGTGTTCAATTTAGTATGTTCTGTAATTCTTTGTTGAAATGTGATGAATAATTGAAAACTCCATAACAAGTCACATGATGACGTCATCATGAGGTCACTTCAATTTACACACTTAGACCCCAGTATGTATGAGCCAACAAAGTTTCAGCCCAATCAAACTT